TGCTGCCCCATAAGTTGACTACTTGAGAAGATGGTGATTATTTACATAAGGTTTAGAATCATTATTAAAACAATACCAGTTATCCTGGAGTTGACTCCCACTCATGGTGACCCTATGTGTGTCAGAATTTGCTCTCTTCATGTATGATGTTCTTGATGTCATCCCATAATTCCTCTGGTTTTGGTCATTGGTGTTCAGTGTGTTAAATCTATTCTTTAGATGGTCTCTAAATTCAGGTAGGATGTAATCAAGGTCATATTTTGGCTTTCGTGGACTTGTTTTAGTTGTGTTCAGCTTTAACTAAAACTTGCATAAGAGCAGTTGATGATCTGTTCCACAGTAAGCTCCTGGCCTTGTTTTCCCTGCAGATATTAAGATTCTCCATAGCCTCCTTCCACAGATGTAGTTGATCTGATTCTTGTGTATTCTATCTGATGAAGTCCACGTGCACAGCTGCCATTTATGTTGTTGAGAAAAGGTATTTGCAATGAATAAGTTGTTGGTCTTGCAAAATTCTATCATGCAATCTCCAGCATCATTTCTATCTCCAAGGCCATATTTTCCAACTACCAGTGATTCCAACTTTTGCATTCCAATCACCAGTAGTAATCAATATATTTTGATTGCATGTTTGGTCAATTTCAAATTGCAGAAGTTGGTAAAAATCTTCAATTTTCTCATATTTGGCTTTGGTGGTTGGGGTGTAAGTTTGAATAATAGTAGTATTAACTGGTCTTTCTTGTAGGCATATGGTTATTATCCTGTCACTAATAGCACTGTACTTCAGGATAGATCTTGAAATATTCTTTGTGATGATGAATGCCACACCATTCCTCTTCAATTTGTTATTTCCAGCATAGTAGATCATATGACTGTCTGATTCAAAATGGTCAAAACCAGTCCATTTCAGCTCACTAGTGCCTAGGATATCTGTCTTTAGGTGTTCCATTTCATTTTTGACAACTTTCAATTTTCCTAGATTGGTACTTCATACATTCCATGTTCCAATTATTAATGGATGTTTGCAGCTGCTTCTTCCTATTTTGAGTCATGCACCATCGGCAAATGGAGGTACCAAAAGCTTTACTCCATCCACATCATTAAGGTCAACTCTACTTTGAGGAGGCAGATCTTCCCCAGCTGTATTTTGAGAGGCTTCTGAGCTGAAGGGATCATCTTCCAGCACTATATCAGACAAAGTTGCAGGGCTATTCATGAAGTGTTCCAGTACTATATCAGACAGTGCTTCACTGCTATCATAAGGTTTTTACTGGCCAATTCTTTGAGAAGCGGGTGGTCCCTTCCTTCTTCCATTTCTGTCTTAGTCTGGAAGCTGCACTGAAACCTGTCCACCATGTGTGACCCTGATGGTATTTGAAATACTGGTAGCATACCCTCCAGCCTCACAGAAACACTCAAGCCACCACAAAAATGTTACCATAGCTATCAAGGGAAACGCTAACGCCAAGAAGAATGGTGAAAAAGGAAGGACCTTTATTTCTGTGTGCTAGCACATACTCCCTGGACTCACATCCAGAGACTGAGTCCCAAACAAAGGCCACACAGGGCCTTTATGGGGTTCTTCTTCTGGGGTACTCAGGGTAAAAGGGTGATTGGTTATTTGCAAAAAGATGCCAGCTAGCAGTTTTTACAGAAGCAAAAAAACATGCTAGAGAGGAAGAGAGGAGGGGTAGTATGGACAGAGAAAGAAGGGAGGGAGAGCAGGGCTGAAGAATTTTCCACTCTCTATACATGGTTTTCCAAGCCAGCACAAGCCGGATGTCTCTGGCCTCACAACAAGTTGTTTCACTGCTCAACAGAACTTCCCTACTTAGGTTAGGCACAGGTTATATAATTCATTGTCAATGTTTCTTAAATTCTCCTCTTTCGCCTCAGTATGACAAATTGACACGAGTGGTGAGCAAAAGTAGCATATGCCATTTAAGCTGAATGAGATGAAATGTATTATAAAATTCTTAGTAGGTGTGGGATACTAAGATTTTTTACTATATATTTTCTATCAAAAGAATATGACACATATTCTACAATAGAGATTATTTCCAGTATTTTTTGGACTTTTGCTATGTTAGTACTATGTTAAATTATTACCCATGTTAGTGTTGTATTAAACATTTGCTATATTTTATCCATGTATATTCCAAAAATATTTAAAGTTAAAGTTATAAATACTATTTTTTGCATAACTTAGGACATAACTCTGTATACTCTGTATGGAAATGCTATATATTTAAAAAGTAATTTGATTTAATTTGTTGCAATAGTCAGCTTATTCATGTTCCCTCAATTTTGCACATCATCTGGATTGTAATCCCCATTAATTGTTTATCAGTATGTGCAGAGAATCCTACCTGTGGTAGTTAAGGTTGTGTGTCAACTTGGCTTGGCCTGGTTTTAAGTGGCTGGGCAGCTGGATGCAGTTATTCCTCATAATGAGACCAATGATCTACTCCATGGTGAAATCTACTGTGAGCATCTGGGTAGCTGCCCTAGGGATGTGGTTTGCTTCCAGTATATAAGAAGAAACTTTGAGCAAAGTCTCTGAGCTTTTTGGAAAATCTGAGTCCCGCATTTGGCTAAGTCTTCATCTCAGTGTTGTTTGCTATTCTTGAGATTGTTTCTGGACTTGAACTAGTGTCTTGCCATGTTTCTTGATATTTTGGGGACTGTGCCATTTTACTTGTGGACCTTGGATGTGTCAGCTTCAGCAGCCCACAGATGCTTGAGTTAAGAGATGCTTCCAACTTCAATGGGCTGGGAGCAAGAGGCAGAGCTGAAGCCCAAGGTCAGGAGGTTTTCACCTAGCCCCTATAGCTGGCACTTTGAACTCAGATTTATAGCCTCCTAAACTGTAAGAGAATAATCCCTGTTTGTTAAAGCCATCCACCCAGTTGTGGTATTTTCTGTGAGAGCAGCTCTAGATGACCAAAACAATGCCCTTTTGTTCATATCATGGCAAAGAACATTGCTGGCTCTCCTGGCTGGAGTTGCTGGATTAACATTCATGGATGTACAAGATGGTTTTCTCAAAATGGATCAGAGACCAGTTATCTGTAATTTAATCTATCCTTGCCCAGTTGCTCATGTTGGAGCCAGTTTCATATTGGGTGAATGAAACAAGATTTAGACTCAACAGTCTACCCCTATTTCTTGTTTATTAGGAAAAAAAAAATAGTCTACTGCCAAGAAACCCACCAAGATAAGGAGTTTAAATTGCACAGAAGGGGACCATAGGAGACAGATGTCAGCAAACGTATTGAAGTGATAGGTGACTCACAGCTTGAACAAACTTACAGGTGGGTGCCTTTGTGACTCTGCATGAATTTGTTTTTAGCTGGCATTCTTACACACTGGAGCTGGCAGAAATTTCATTTAGTGCCTTCCAGTTCACCCTTCCACTGTTGCACTTGCTTTCACTTTTGTCTTGTCTACTTGGAATCTAAATTTCCAGGCCCAGTCTCTCTGTGATTTTCTTGTTTTTGTAGACTCCTCCTTAATTTTTAGTAACTCTTCCAGCCTCAGGCTCTATATTCTGACATCTGAAACAAGTAATGTATCATATTTCTATGCCCAAGTTGTGTGTAATTGGGGAACATTCTCTAAAAAATGTTCACATGGTGCACCTCTGACTTTTAAGGATACATTCATCTCTAATCTTATTCTTTTCTTTTTGTTCCCTGGGATCTATTTGGCCTATGCATAGTTTAGAGGTGGCATAGCACCTAAGGCATTAGACTGCTAACCAGAAGGCTGGCAGTTCAAACTCACCCATCTTGGAAGGAAGACTGGGCAATCTACTTCTGCAGAGATACTACCTCAGAAACCTGAGGGGTTGCTATGAGTCAAAATCGACTCCACAACAGTGATTTTGCTTTTTTTTTTTTTTATAGTTTAGGGACCAAACTCATATTTACACATAGTTGATAATGAGCTTTTAGATTTCACTTCTTTCATGGTTTTCTCACTTTCAGGCTTTCCCCTTTAAATCACCAATGTTCTCAGACCTAACTCTATTCTCTGCCTCATTTAGCCAGTACAGCTGTGGTTTTGTATAATGACTACTTTCCACCACAGCTGTGTGAGCACCCTCAGACCAGAAAGGCACAAACTCACAGTTCTCTTTTGGCTGCAGTTTTTAAAAGATTACTCTTCTGACTTCTTTTTTCTTTTGAATGTTTTCCAGGACTATTAAACCAAAGGAGTTCTGCTAGCACAGTGTCTAAGGCATTTGACTGCTAACCCAAAGGTGAGTGGTTCAAACCCACCAGCTCCTTGGGAGGAAGATGAGGCAATCTACTTCCATAAAGATTTAAAGCATTCAAGTGGAGGTCACTATGGGTTGGAATTGACTTGATGGCAGTGGGGATATCTACCCGTCTATAGATAGATAGGTATATCGATACATAGATAGATATGTTTAATTTCTATCTCTGGAAGTTTTCACATGACCACTTCACTCTCTTCTTATTATCTCCTGTATTATCATTCATCTTCATTTTAGTTTGATCTTAGTTGCATACTCTTCTATTTTCTATAGTGTTGGATTTCATTTCACAGTATTTTTAACTGCTATCACCTCTCAGTAGAACATTTTTTTTTTCTCCTTAGCCAACAACCCATGTTGCTATCCTACTGGTTATAGTCTATAGTCTTTAGATGTTCTATTTTTATAACTGCTTATTATTAAGGGTATATTTGTTAACTTCACCAGATACTTTTTGTAGTCACTAACGATAAGTTTGGAGCTGAATAATACACTAAAGAAATTCAGAAAGCATTACTTGGAAACAAACATTATCTAAAGGGCCTCTGTTCCCCAGAGGTCAAAAACAAGGAAATTAAGAGAATCAAAGGCTTTCATTTTCTCAAAGAAAAGTGTATTTTTAAAATCTGTTTTTCTAAAGAACAAGACCTTTTTTCTTTCCCATCTATTATACACATATAAAAGACTAACAATAATAATAATAATAAATTCTACTAACCGCTATAGTGCCACAATCACATTGTTCACCAGTTTCCAACACTCCATTGCCACATACTCTGCCTGGTGCTTTGTAAACTGGCATATCAGTATGGTGATTCTGAAGACACTGAAGGCCAGATTGTGAAACAATATATTTAAAGTCATCCAAGCTACAGATGCTAAAATCTTTTACACCTCCAAAATGCCTAAAATATAAAAACATGGATATAAAAATTTTTTATTATATATCTCTATGTATAATACAAAAATTTTTATTGTATATCTCTATTTTCCCAAAATTTATGATACCTTCAAGAGAGATTTGAAGAGAATTATTTATCATGGAAAACATTAGCACACCTTTGAAAATATTTATTTAGATAAACAAAAGTTTATTTACCTAATATACTGCTAGGTGGCATAGTGTCTATGGCATTTGACTGCTAACCAGAAGGCTGGCAGTTCAAACCCACCAGCCTCTCCTTGGAAAAAAGATTGGGCAATCTACTTCTGTAGTGATACTGCCTCAGAAACCCAAGGAGGGGTCGCTATGAGTCGGATCTGACTCAACATCAGTGAGTTGGTTGGTTGGTTGTATTGCTCGTATGTTTCAATATAAAATTTAAATTCCTCCAAGAAAATTATTGTAATGAAAAATAGCATGTTCTAAAATCTTTTGTTGTCATTCATTCTGTTTTATACAATGAAGAATTATTAGGTATCTAATCCATAACTTTTATTAAGTTTTTGCAGAGGAATTGTGTTATTCTTATTTATTTTTCAAGCATCAAACAATTGAATTTTAGATTTTAGACCTCCAATACTTATATACTTTCATCTGCTTAATTCCATATTTATGTAAATGCCATTTCTGTTTGTATGCACTTTAATCACATACTTTAGAACTTTTGCTATCCAAAATCGAACATTTTTCAAATAAAAATCAGTTATAGAATTCTAGTCCAGATAAGATAGTGCAAAATTATTTCTCCTTGTTCCTCCTTATTAAGTACAAAAACAAACACTGAAAATAGTGTAACAAGCAACCTAAGAAAATTCTTAAAATTGGAATGGGGATGCAAATTGATTTGGGATTTCAGGACTGGAAGAATAACAAAGTAACAAAGCATCTTAAAATCTCTCACCCAGGGAAAGACAAAGATAGAGGCTCTACATTTCCAGAATCACAATTTAGCAGCAGAAGGCAGCTCAGGTAGGCTCACTCCTCCTCCTAAGAGCCCTACCAACAACACCAGGTGAGCATGGCACCTTCAGCAAGGGGGTCATTTAAGATTTCTGTTAATACTAAGTGACCAAGGGAAGTGCTCTCCTTACCTGCTGGGCCTCAGACTCCCTTCTGTTATCAAGAGCCACTAAAAGGATGGGCCACACTGGCAAATGGGCTCTTGTTAAAAGAAACAGACAGCCAAGAAAGCACTCCATATCCCCCACAGATAGGAGAGCTTCTGACACAACAAATGACTGGTCATGAAAACTCTATCCTTACAGGCCTGAGACACCTCTCCTCTACTGAGAGAAACTGGGCAGCCATGATTGCAGAAATATCTTCCATCCACTCAAAGAGCAAGAACAGTAAGTAGTAGGAGCCCTAATGACACCAAGTAAACCAAACAGACCAAAAGAGCACAGAAAAAGCTCTGATAATTAAAATGTCATTGGGATTACAATCCACGAAAGTAGAACAGGACCTATGTGCTAAACCTAAATGGTGTGATTATCTACTAACATGTAAGATTTAAATAGGATCAGGGACTCCTAACATATTCAGGATATAATAAAAATCTCATTTTGTACCCACAACCCAGAAAACCCACAACTTGTATGAGAAAAGAAAATAACTAACATTAACACAAGAATTAATCAATCGAACATTGGAATATATTTGACAAGGATTTTAAAGCAGTATTCAATGAAATGCTTCAATGAGTTATCACAGACTCTTTTAAAGCAAATGAGAAATGAAAACCTAAGCAAAAATAAATAGAAATTATAAAGAGCCAAATAAAAATTACAGAACTGAAAAACACAAAAAAAGAAATTAAAAATAAATAAATAAATAATTCACTGGATGGACTCAATGTTGTTGTTGTTATGTGCCATCGAGTCAGTCCCAACTCATAGAGACCTCTCCTTGGGTTTCTGAGGCAGTATCACTATGGAAGTAGATTACACAACCTTCCTTCCCAGGAGTGGCTGGTGGGTTTGAACCACCAGTCTTCTGGTTAGCAGTCAAGTGCCTTAGGCACCATGCTACCAGAGATCCTGGATGGACTCAATAGTAGAGTGGAAACAACAGAGGAAAGAATCAACGAACTTAAGGGCTAATCAATAGAATTTACCCAATCAACACAACAGAGAAAAAATAGATGGGAATAAAAAAATGAACAAAACCTGTAGAATAATAACAAAAGATCTAACATTCATATTATCATATCCCAGAAGGCAAAGAGAAAAGCAGGCCAAAAGATTATTCAAAGAAATAATATCTGAAATTTCTCATATTTGGCAAAAGATATAAATCTGCATACTTAGGAAGCTCAACAAACTCCAAAGAGGATAACCTCAAAGAATTTGATACCAACGTATATAATTAAACTTTGGAAATTAAAGACAAAAATAAATCATGAAAGCAGCCATATGATGTACTATCTAAAAGAGAACAACTAATTCTAATGGCAGCATGTTCTTCATATGAAATAATGGAGTCCAGAAAGAAATGACACATTTTCAAGTGTGGAAAAAAAACCACTGTCAACCATGCATTCTATATTTGGCAAAACTATCCTTCAGGAATGAAAGGGAAATGAAGATATGCTCAGCTGACAGAAAAGTAAAAGACTTTGTTGCTAGCAGAACTAATCTTAAAGACTGGTTAAAGGAAGCCCTTTAATGGATGTCTGCGGCTGTTTCTCTTCAATTTGAGTGGTGCCACATCAGCAAATGAAGGTCTTGAAAGCTTTCTCTTATCCATATGAGTAAGGCTGAAAGAACTGAAGAACAAATTTAAGCCTCGAGTTGCAATATTGAGAGATTCTAAGGGCAAAATATTGAATGATACAGGAAACATCAAAAGAAGATGGCAGGAATACACAGTCCCTGTACCAAAAAGAACTGATCGATCTTCATCCATTTCAGGAAGTGGCATATGATCTAGAACCAATGGTAATGAAGGAAGAAGTCAAAG